TCCGCAAGTCTCTACAGGCTCGACAGTGTATTCAGCAGACGCCAAAGAGTCATGCAGCTCTAAAAGGATTCCCAGGATTGAACGATTCCGGGCTGTAAATTGACTTGTGCGGGATCTGAACCCTCAACGTCCAGGCCTCAATGACTTTCGGACTGTACCGCGGCAAGGGGCCGACATCAGTCAAAGTGTTGTAGATGATTGTGTCAGAGTCATCTTCGTCGGAATCCACTGCCGTGTCGTTGCTGGCATTCACATCTTCAACTTCTGTCCCATTCTGCGAAGCACTTGCAGTTGCGGTTGTGTAGCTGACCCTCAGCTGCAGTTTTCGTGTGGCAAGGGCATGACACGATGCATTACATGGAGAACTGCCACGTCGTCTCTGTGCCTTGCTTCGCCGAGGCTCCAGATGCGGTTCGCACCGGTAGCACTTGTCGCCAAATAGACGACATAGCCCTGCACATTGGCGACCTTGGGCAAGGCTGCAAGGGCCGCAAGGTAAGGAACGCATGGTTTCCTCAGAGGCCGGGGCCAGACTTGGAGGAGTCCAGCTGAGATTGCCGCCCACTTCATCCTTGCGTGAGCATCACAGGACTAATCTCGCCCGAGAATTCTTAGACACGAACACTTGCAGAAGAATCCGTTCGATATACCTCAAGCCCCGAAGGATTCGCAAAGAGCTCTTAAAGCACTTCGTGCATGCAAGTCGCTAGGTTCAAATCTTGTCCCACGAAGTCTAAGTCGGAGACACTGGCATCCTGGTCAAAGATCCTGTCAAGGGCTTTTGTTCAATGGGTTCAGCCTGTGCAGAACCATCCGTACTACTAGTATTCTGTAATGCAAGGCCAAGACGGGAGAGACGACGCGATTAGAGGAGCACCAGATCAAACATTCGCCCAATCTCACCAAGCCGCACTGTTGCTTGCTGTAACAGGATCATATCTTCTGTAGGACGCTCAATGCAGGCACATCAAAGTTTTCTGGCTCAAGGCGCCAAGCATCCGACAGTTTGGGATGATCGCTCGAGGGCTTAGAGTCGGATGACAGTTCCGGGAAGCCATGCAGGCTTCGGTCACAGGTCGGCTTCAAGATCGCGTCCTGTGGGACGTGGGCGTACTCGCTTCCTCCAGAGCCGACCTTTCAGGGATCAGCGCTGGCACCCTGGAAAGCTTGCAAGTTCTTGGTTACACCTGGCACCACGCTCCAAACTGCCTTTGAAAAGTTGACAGGTTCATGATTTCTTCGTGACATGGCCATGAAATTTCAGTTTGGCAGAGGGGGCAGGGGGGGGTGGGGGGCGGGAATCTGTCAAACTTGAAAGCAGAAAGAGCAGAGCGTGCCAAACCTAGCGGGACGGCAAGCGAATGCGAATGACGCAGTGCTCCTTGTATGTGTTGTGAATCGGAAGGCAAGCTGGACAAATTTGAGTTCGCAGAAACGAGCCTGCACTGAACGACGCATGGCAACAAATCGATACTTTCTCAATGCGAGCTGCAACCTTTTTCTACCCTCCTGCGATGGACGCGAAACAGTCTTAGGCAAGGCTGCTGTCTTCAGTCGTGCAGATGTACGTATGGCGGTGTTGCTTAATTGCGGTTCTGCTGCCTGTTGTTCTGACCCCCTGACGGGGGGCGGGGAGGAGGTGGGGGTGGCCTCAAGGCAGGCCTCCTAACCAAGCACCTCCGGATTCATATGCTGACGCTTAGGGGCCCCTGAAGTTTCGTTGGACCCAAGCCAAATCTGTAGACAACAACTCCCCAAGCTTCGAAAAGGGAGCTAGCTCTCGTGACTGAGTGGAGTCTTCGGCCTGGAATAGACCAGGAAGTGAGTCCAAGGTTGTAACGGCGTCTCGGCGGCAATGGACCTTAGCAGCTGGCTTGCCGCTCACGAGGATTCCTAAAGCCACCTGCAACCTTGATCCTGTTTCTTGATATACTGGTCGGAGGCCAGAAATAAGAGGCCTGCGACACAAAACTTCGAAAGCACTACCTACAGCGTAATGACAGGCAGAATAGTTTCGGAAACGCCGAATGGTGGCTACGACCCCTGCCCTTGCTTTTATGCTCTCTCGCTCTCGTTCGACATCGAGGTTGGTTTCCAGGCATATCAACAGCCAAGCCTTGCATCTAGCGGCCACCTCAAGGCACCCGTCGTGCCCACAGGCTGGCGACACCTGCACATCTTGCATAGAGTTCCCTGATTTCTACGTAAGTCTTTGTAATTACTGGCGTAGGCTCTCGGTAGCAAGGCAGTTCGGGGCCTAGGAGTGTAATCTAATTATCCACCACGCGTCGGCAGAGCCGCTTGACCTGCAACCCGTATAACTTGTTGTCCATGGGATGTCCTATATTGTCCTATAGACTTCTGGTCAAGATCACTTGACACCGGTCTGCGCACCAGAAGCGAGACGTTGTGGCATCCTCGGCTGGCAAACCCACACATAGACAGCGAAAAGAGGCATGGCACGGGACACCTCCCAGCTTGTTTAGGATGCCCTTCCACTTTCGCCCAGGCACGCTTGCGTTGGCCATGTCGCTCTCCTCGCCTAAGCATCACGAGCATAGCATCTGCTGTTGCCGTTGGGAGGCGGCAGCTTCGCAAAGCAGTTGAGAAAGAAGGCAACAGGTTGCGATCCGTGCAGCAGAACAGGAACGACTTGTTGAAAGGAACTGGATCCACAAAAAGGCCGAGGAAAATTGGGCAGGATGGCCAGGTCATGTGGTTGCAACCAACTGGTGACGCGACATGATAAGCTCAGGCAGCAGCTCCAAACGTACGGGACCATGTTGTCCGAAATTGTGGGGCTGCTGGTGTTGCTCTCCTGGCACACGAGCGCTAAGTGGCAGCTTGGACACGACAGAGACGGGCAACAAAAATGCAGCGCGGAAAAGCGTGTCTTGTCGCCTGGACCTAGGTGCGCTTGGACCTAGGTGCGCTTGCCATTAGCACCCACAGAACAGTGCTAAGGTCGATTCTACGCCATGGCGTCCTCGTCGCTGGTGTCGCTGGTGTCGGACCCGTCACAGCTGTCAATCCTGGGGTCCGCAATGACTCTGGCGATGTAGACGTTGTACTCGGAGATGAGACCTTGGATTTCGCGGCGATGGAATCCACGGACTGACTTTGTTTGCCGGCCAGCCTTCTCGACATCATTCTCCGCAGCCTTTTTGGCTGCACCGTCCTACACTAGGTCCTACACATCAACACACCGTGAGCCGAACCCCCGCAAGGAGTTTTGTCCATCTTCCCTGCTCTTCTTTGCTGCTCTTCTTTGGGCAACTCTTTGACAAAATCGTGCACCCGAGACAGTCCCAACTCCCCATCAAGTCCGCACCCTCTGCCTGCGGACACTGTGAGAAATGGAAGCTAAACCCTAGACCTCCAAACTTCTGCCAAAGAGGCTATCGTCTGCTGGCGAGTCCCAAAGCAGATCCCCGCCTAGCTCATCCCTGTCCAGGTCCTGGATTTTCAGCTTCGAAATGTTGGCTTGGTCTTCCCACAAATGCTACAAAATGCATCGGACTAGCAACCGTCTGAACCGGCCGCGAACTGCGGGGCAAACCTGCTTAGGGTGTGCTTCCTGGAATATTGCCTGTACTTCATCTCCCCAGACTTCATGACGACAAAAGTTCGGGTTGGGTCAGGTTGCTAGACCTCTAGCAGGCCCACAAACCATGACAATCTCACCTCGAGCCTGACCTCGCTCAACAGCCTTGCAAGAAACGAATCGGAAATAAGTCCTGGGGTATTGCAGAAAGCCTGAATCACGGTATATCTTTGCGAAATGCCTTGATTCAGGGTGTCGCGAGGCCAGCCCCCAGCCAAGACACCAGATCAGGAAAGCGTAGGTTTTGGACTGGTGCATCCCTGAGGGTGGGAATGTGGCCGAAGCAGCCAAAAAACGTGTCCGGCACTGTTCGCAAGGGCTGTTTGCAATTCTGGGGTTTCGGGTGTCGGATTGACGACTGTTTGCTAAGTAACAGGGATGAACTTGCTAGGGTATTGAACTTCTTGGGGTTGAGGGAACGGCTCGGCCTCATCGCCTGAATCATGATACTTCGAAGAAGTGATGGAAGCGTACGGAAGGAAGCCGGCTTCAGATTTCAAAACAAAGGACTACACACGAAGATGAAACCTTTATGCTCATGCTGATGCTGGTTATGACGGCAGTGGAGATGACGCTGAGGAAAATGATGACGATGATGATGATGATGATGACGATGATGATGGTACTCATGATGATAAACAACATATAAACTATGTTTAAAATGATGCACACGGAGTTCTACATGATGAGGATTATGGCCAAAATGACCATGATGATGCTTTTGATGATGATGGTGTTGGTGAGGATGATGATGATGACGTTGATGATGACGACGACGATGTTGATGATAACGATGACCATGGTGATGGTGATGATGACGAGGATGACGAAAATTATGAGGATAGAGAAGGTGATGATAAAGAAGAAGATGATGATGATTATGATGACGACGACGATGACGGTGATGATGACCATAGTGATAATGATTAACGATGATGATGATAATGACGCGGTGATGCTGATCAATGAGGTGGTGGTGGTGATGATGATGATGATGGTGATGTTGATGATGATGATGATGATGATGATGATGATGATGATGATGATGCTGCTGTCAGTGCTGATGACCATGGTGATGAGAAAGGGTGATGACGACGATGGTGCCGATGACGTTTTATGATGGTGCTTATGCTACTGATGCTGACGATGCTGACGATGATGATGATGATGAAGATGGTGATGATGATGGTGCTGATGATGAAGAAGAAGATGATGATGATGATCGGTGCGATGAAAGTACCCATGCCAACCTCGATGAAACTTTGCAAGTGGAGCGCATAGACGGCTAAGGAATCGAGACTGCGTTTAAAGACTTTCAATCACGCCCTGCCACACACCTGCGAAAGCAAAATCTCGCCCGTTTTACCCACCGCTCGGCAAAGAGCAAGTTGCTTGCTCAGCGCTTCACGTTGACAAAGCCGGTCTTATCCCCTCTTTTAAACGGGTACCCATGCTGCAGCATGAAGTCATGTAACGGACGCTTGTACAGCGATCTTTTCACTGCTGGACTCAGCCACAGAAACTCCTGGACAACAGAGCGGTCCAAGAAAGGATATCGAGTTTCCATACCCAAGGCTCCGGCAATGGTTTCCTCTTTCATCAAAAAGTTTCGTTGCCTTGCAAAGTAGAAGTCTGGCCAGGGAAATACAGACGACAGGTCGTCGGGAAGCATCTCACTAGGATCAGTCTTGTATTGTGAAAGGATTTCATCACCCCCCGCCCCAGACATGAAAATCCTCCCTCCCTGCTCCTTGCAACTCCTGAAGATCTTCACGAGTGCCACTGCTGCCTGATCCAACACAACTCCATAATTTGAAAACCTGTGCTCGTTGTAGGTGAATGGCTCCGCCCACTGAGATATCCACACCTGATTCCGGGAGTACTCAAACTCATCCATCGGTATGAAATGTTCCGTCGACGAGGAGCCATGCAACTTCAGCCGTTGCCTGATCACAGTCACGTTTTCGGATCCAGGGATTGTGAAGGTGTGGTGCGGCACATACTGCAAGGCCAAAGCCAGGTGAACACCTCCCGAGTCATAGCCATGAGACAAGCCCGTGCAAAGCTGCCAGTTCAAGTCAAGGGTTCGTTTTGCGATTGCTTTTTCAAACGCAAACTGCCAGTCCGACGTGGACTCTTTGAACTGCGTCAGGTTCCAGTTGAACAGCGGAAATTGTCTGAAGAAAGGCCAAACTGCACAGTCGCAATAAACGCTGCAGTTCCTGCGATGACCATTCCAAGCAGAAGAACACAAGCCTTGCAGAGAGTTTTTCTGCATTGAACGCCAGTTCCAGCGCTTTAGCTCTTCGAAGGAAGCAACGAAGAGCGTGTTCGGATCCGCCATGAAAATGTCAACTGAGGCATCAAACCCCAAGCCTGTCAGTGCGGATCTGTATGTGGCCACTGCAAATCTGCCGAGGGTGCCAAAGGCAAAGAAAATGGGTTTGGTGCCGAACGGGTCTGTCAGGAAGGCAACCGTCTCGGTCAAAAAGTCGACGATGACAATTGCGAATTCTCCGTCCAATTTGTTGGCCATATTTGCCGCCCCCCACTTCTTGTAAGCAGGCAACAGAACTTGCCCATCGGATGAAATGTTCTGACCCGGCAGCAGGGATCGCCAATTGTAAATCTCACCATTGAATACAACAGCCATTTCAACACGTCCGTCCGCACCTGTGGCAACGAGAGGCTGGGCCACCAAGCTACCTGTCATCCACAACAGATTATGAAGCAGGAACCAGCCGTCGTGAAAGACGGTGTTGGTCAAGTCCGGTCCTCGTAGTCTGCTCAATGTGTTGGCAGCTTCCAGACTCGCCACATCTGTCTCAAAGTTACCGACAATGAATGAGCATGCACTTATCAAAGCTATTTCGTGCAGACATGTGATACAGAAAATCAGCCACACAAAGACTGATGGTCGCCATCGGCATAGAGATGACATGACTGGACCCCACTGGAACTTGGGAGGTAGTATGAAACCTACAACAGCTGCAGAGCAAGATTGCTGTGCTAGATTGACTTCAGTCCAAGGAGAGCTGCAGATCTTGGCCCGAGCGAAGCTCAGATTTGTCAGAATGCTTTCAGCCAACGAAAATCTCGAAGCCGCGGCCCTAAAGCAACGACCCGAATATTTTTGTTCACCCTAATGCCTAATTCCAACCCTGAACGCCACCAAACCCTCAACAAAGTATCCGACCACAATGACACTGCAAACCTTCGATCCTAATCCTGAGCCAGATGAAGGTAAGTGTTGGAGCCAGCTTTGCTTTGCTGTTGCTGAGTGCCTGAGGTAAACATTGTCCTGAAATCCTAGGGATGCAGGACGAGGCCCCGGACGTATCGTTGAGGATCAGCGCAGTCGGAGTCGTCTGCTCGGCTAGGCTGGACCTACACACACGGCCAAGCGAGGCGCACGTGCTTTCAGTTGCTTTTCCCCGAGAGCTAGGCCTGCCCAGCTACACCTGCCCTCTGCCTGAAACCCAATCGCGCTTTAATGTACCCACGATGCTCCCGCCAGAAAAGTCAGCCTCATGTCCGGGCCATCATCGATCCGCAGCGTCGTTTACTCTCAAATCAGTTACTATCTGTCTTACACTTTCTCAACAGCCCTGATCCAACCAGATGCAACACACAGCCACGGCCGTTTGGAGGACGTGCTGCGCTGCCATCCATGAAATAATTACAGTAGGGTTGATGGTGTTGTATCTGAGAGGGTGTTTACGATCAATGACGAAGCTGAGAGAAAGGCTGTCTTTGACAGAACGCCACCTGCAATCTCTGGAGAGTCTATGTCGGGTCGAGCAACAAACCATCCAGACGGAAGTTTGGCGTCGTGCTGGAGGACTTAGATGCAGAATTCTTACACGAAGCACAGCATCCGGCCTTGTCATGCCTTGTCCATGCTGGGGGAAGCGTGAAAGCTAACTAGATGCTCATGCAGCAGATGTGCGTGCCTCGTCTCGGGCCACTGAGTCAGTGACTCAGACATTACTGGCACCAGCCATCAATGCCGTGAGTGAAGGGAGAGAGACAAAGAGAGAGAGGGAAAGACAGAGAGAGGGAGGGAGAGGGGGAGACCTTGCACGATCGCACGATATTGCCTTCTGAAGCTGTGCCAGGCAATGCCTTGATGGCTTATCGGGTCTGTTTCGTCTGCGCACCCGCACATAAGCGCGCAAACGCCACAATTGTCAAGCCTTTTATTCAACACAGGGTTGCAGAAGGGACAGGTCCAATTAACGCGAAGACGAGTTTTGGATTCTGTCGGCAACAACAACGGGCTTTCGTCTGCAGTTCCATGGAAGACAAAAAACAAGTCGTAGTCGCTGTCGCGGTAGCTCCCAAAGTCACGCTAGCACAAAAGAAGGGATGACGAGACCTAGGCCGGTTTGCAAGTGAACATACATTCTGAAGAAGCACAAGGACATCTGCAGGGCTTGAGCAGCCGCGTGTAAGAAAATCAGGAGCTTCTCGAAACTGCTGCTGGCCGTTTGCGGCGAAAGGGCTTGAGCAAGCACCCCTTCGATGCTGCTAGTAAGGCAATGGTCGTAGTTAAGCCGTAAGTGCCTGGAGGTGAAGGGTCCGACGACCTTGAAGCTCCGAAGTCTCAGAGGGTGCCCAAACTCTCTGGGTGAGTTTGAGTCATGGGGAATGAGCAGGAAGCACATTGACACGAGATGTCGGATGGCTGCAAGTAAACTATGGACTGTGCTGCTGGTTCGCGCTAGTTGTGCCTGGCCTGTGCACGGAATGAAACTCAAAGTTTGGGGACAGAGGTCCTGCGCGGGGGGCGGGGGGGGGGGGGG